GAGAGAGAGGAGAGAGAGAGAGAGGAGAGGGAGAGAGGAGGGAGAGAGGAGGGAGAGAGGAGGGAGAGAGGAGGGAGAGAGGAGGGAGAGAGGAGGGAGAGAGAGAGAGAATCCCAAGCAGGTTCCTCACTGTCAACACAGAACCAGATGGGGAGCCTGATGCCATAAACCATGAGATCATGACCTAAGCCGAAATCAAGCGTCAGACAAAACTGAATGAGCCACCCAGGCACCCCTCTAATTTTTCTATTACAAAATACTGTGGGGCATTTGAGTGGCTCAGTCAGTTGAGCATTCGACTCTTGATTTTAGCTTGGGTCACGATCCCAGGGTTGTGGGATGGAGCTGCATGCCGGGCTCTATAGTGAGCACGGAGCCTGCTCGGGCATCTCTTCTCTCTCCCTCTCCCCTGCTGGCACACCCTCTCTCAAAAAAAAAAAAAAAAATGCAATTAATATGAAACCTCCTCAAAGAAATGGTTTTTGTCTTAGTTTATTATTGTATCCCATTGGATCAGATCAGTGCTGTGTACATACCAAGTACTCAATATTTAATATATGACTGACTGAAATTGCTAGGTCATAAAATATGCACTTTTTCAACTTCATGGGATATTACTAAGTTGCTCCCCGAAGTGGTTGTACCAATTAAATATTAACATCAGTCTTTACCAGTATCTGATAACATGATGGATATAAAGCAGTACCACACTGTAATTCTCACCTATGTTTGCCTGATTACTAATAAGGCTAACATTCTTTTCATAAGTTGAGCGATGAATGGTGTTTCCCTTTTGTGAACTGCATTTTCATATTTTTCTGTTGTTTTCATTTTTCACAGTTGTCATTTTCTTCTGAATGTGTAGTTCTTTAGATATTCTAAATTCAAAATCTATGTGCTGCGGGGCACCTGACTGAATGGTTCAGTCAGTTAAACGTTGGGACTCTTGATTTCAGCTCAGGTCATGATCTCCTGGTTTGAGTCTGAGCCTCACACTGGGCTCTGCGCAGACAGTGTGGAGCTGCTTGGGATTCTCGCTCTCCTCTCTCTCTGCCCCTACCACTGGCGCGGGTGCGCACGTTCTCTCTCAAAATAAATATATAAATCTAAACATATACATGCATGTGTGTACATACACACACACACCAAAATTATTTTCTCCGTTCTGTGGCTTTTCTTTTTACTGTGGTACCTTTTTTTCACAGTCTCATTTTAGAAAACCTTGCCTACTCGTTTTTTTTTAACATTTATTTTTGAGACAGATACAAGCAGGGGACGGGGCAGAGAGAGAGAGAGGGACACACAGAATCGGAAGCAGGCTCCAGGCTCTGAGCTGTCAGCACAGACCCCCATGCGGGGCTCGAACCCACGAACTGTGAGATCACGACCTGAGCCAAAGTCAGACGCCCAACCGACCGAGCCACCCAGGCGCCCCTCTTTAATATTTCTCATAGAGATACAAAGTTTTCCCCAAATTTAGCTTTTCCATTTAGCAGGAACTTCGTTTTGTGTTACATGAGAGGAATCTAATTTTATCTCCTCAAAGTGGATAACCAGAAGCTCATTGATTTAACATGCCACTTACATCTCATAGCAAGTCCATATGGGTTGTGACGGTTGTGTGCACGGGGTGGAGATAGGAGTATGTACATCAGGGAGCGTGTGTTTAATTTACTTATTTCAGTAACGCCCTCTAATCAACCTAATCCACAGGTACTTCTTCAAATATTTGAAGAGTGGAATTATCTGCCACTTCTCAGGTCTCCTTCAGGATAAACATGACTATTTATGTTCTTTCAAGAATTCCTCCTAGAACAAGATTTCCATCCTGGCTTCCTTTTAACTGACCCCTCAAAGTCCTTCTTAAAATGCAGTCTCAAGCCTAACACAATGCTCCAGATATGGTCTGTTATAAGTGGAAAACACTTTTTTCAAACACACACCTCCTGAATGCCTACTATATAGTGCTCTCCACTCAACTAGATTACCCAACACTCTATTTTTGTTAACATCCATTATTTTCCTCTTTACTTTTTAAAATTTATTACTGAAGTACACTCAACACACAACCTACTACGAGCTCTCAAACGTCTTCCAAGTACAAGATTCAGAGCCAGGTCTCACTTGTTCACCTGTTGCTGGTTTTTCAATCTAAACTCAGAAAACCTTCAGTCTTGTAACACTGCATCTTACCACTAGGTCCAGATTTTGTTACCTAACATACTGGCTATTCTCCACCTGAAAATTAGTCTAGCGTGTATATTTAATATTCACTCAACTCTCCCATTTATTTATACTGCTGAAAAATTTGCGTATCTCTAAGGAAGCCGACTTACAGACACATATATAACTTTCCAACCATCGTCAAACTCACTCTCCTTTATTTCTCCCCACAAGAAATGGTATGTCAATTCTCTTGCTGAAATCCTAATACACAGTACCTTTGGCACTTTCTGGTCTATTAACACTATATAAGGAAAAAAGAGATTTCAGTTTGCCAAGGATGAAAGCCTTAGTGGGGCAATGTTATTCCCAAACCATTTCTATTCCTGTTCAAAAATTACCCATTTAGGTGTGCCTGGGTGGCTCAGTGGGTTAAGCGTCCAACTTCGGCTCAGGTCATGATCTCACAGTGGGTTCGAGCCCCGCGTCGGGCTCTGTGCTGACAGCCAGCTCAGAGCCTGGAGCCTGTTTCAGATTCTGTGTCTCCCTCTCTCTGACCCTCCCCTGATGATGCTGTCTCTCTCTCAGAAATAAATTAAGAAAAAAAAAAAAATTACCCGTTTAATCAACAATCCTAGAATTTTGCAAACAACTGAATCAAGCTCACCATTCTAGAATTGATTTAAAAATTGTGAGGGGACTAAAAAGTAATGAACTTATTTACTTACTTGAACATAATTGATAAAGTCATCCTTAAAAAGAGCTCTTCGCTGTATTCTGTATTCCAGATTCGAAGCCTTCCTAATGATAGCCCTGAGAAAACCATTTTAAGATATAACAGTTGAGAAGAGCATAAGTTCAATAACTTTGGGGTTTTACGTTTATTTTTAATATATTTAAAACACATCCAAAACCTGAAATTCCCAAATTAACTATCCTTTATAAGTATTCTTTTACCTGATTACTTCTATGTGCTTAGGGGCATCAGGATGGTTTTTTTTTTTTTTATTTTCGTGAGAGACGGGGGGGGGGGGGGGGGGGGGGGGGGGTTAGAGAGAAGGAGACAGAACTGGAAGCAGGCTCCAGGCCACAAGCCGTGAAATCATGACCTGAAATCATGACCTGAGCGGAAGTCGAATGCTCAACCAACTAAGCCACCCAGGTGCCCCATTATTTTAAAATTTTCATTAAAACCATCTTAGTCAACTGCCAGGACCATTGACATTCCCACCAGTAAAGCAAATAACGTTAAGTACTTTACGTTATTTGTATGCGAGATTAGTAAAGGTTTCTTTTCCTCCAAATTCAGGTCTCTTAGGTTTTAACAATAACCAAGTACCTTCCATAAGTTCCTTCTGAGTTTTCAAGACTCAGATTAAAAAAAAAAAAACAAAAAAAAACAACCCTGGTCCTCTGTACTGTGTCTACCTAGAAAGGTTTATTAACACTACAAAAGACTCCTGGGAAACGATTCACTATTTACCTAAAGAGAGAACACAACGTGTAGTATCAGGAGAATTTAATGCAAGATGTGCAAGGCCAATTACTGCCTCTAGTTGGTGGGAATAGTAACACGGACTTAACACTATGAGTCCACACTGCTGGAACACCTGGGTGGCTCAGTGGGTTAAACGCTGGACTCCCGATTTTGGCTCAGGTCATAATCCCACGTTGTTAGGTTAGAGCCTGGCATTGGGCTCTGCACTGACACCACGGAGCCCCCTGGGATCCTCTTTCCCTCTCTCTACCCCTCCTCCCCCTACCGTCTCTCAAAAACAAACATTTTTAAAAAATACTTTTTGAGGGGCCCCTGGGTGGCTTAGTCGGTTAAGCGTCCGACTTTCGCTTGGGTCATGATCTCGCGGTTCGTGGGTTCGAGCCCCGCGTCGGGCTCTGTGCTGACTGCCAGCTCAGAGCCTGGAGCCTGTTTCAGAGTCTGTGACTCCCTCTCTCGCTGACCCTCCCCTGCTCACGCTCTCTCTCTCCCCTAAAAATAAATAAAACATTAAAAAAATTTTTTTAAAAATACTTTCTGAATCCACTCTAGATCACTAACGTACGTTTACTTCAAGGACTCCCCATCGTTACATTACTACGTTCACAGCCATTGTAAAAAAACAAAAAACAAAAAAACAGCAAGTCACAGGAAACCCTTAAAAAATATATTAAACTTGATTCTAACAAATTACGAAAAGCCAACCTCGCGCCAGACGCCGTTGGCTAAGCCCCGGGGTGGAATACCAACCAGACTGAATTACACGGCCCCCGTCTTCGAGGCTTATTCGAAAGACGTATCGACGCCGGGCTTCCACCGCTGTTTGCACTCTTAGCACAACTAGCTAACCGTACGCGAAATGGTGGTCCCCCCCCCCCCCCCCCCCCGCACACACAAGGCAGGTAGCTCCCGACGGGCGGGGATCCTGGTTTTGTCCCCTTTAACGCCCCAAGACCTGGCTCCCCTAAGAAGGGCCAGATGCTTGGTGGGGGAGGGAACCCACCGTGCGACGAATGAGAAATTCTGGGCAGCAACAGAACCTAAAAACGGGCTTCGGCCACGTTAGAAAAACGAAATGCAATTAGGTGCCCCGGCAACCCTCCCCCACCCCGCTTCTCCCCTCCCCTCCCCTCAGTGCGTCGCGGCTCTTCTCCCCCTTCCTCAGCTTTTTCTCACCTTATCTCCGACTGGTTGAACAATCCAACACGCTCCAGCTGTTCCAATTCGGGAAGTCGATCTTCTACGCGTTCCTGAATTATCTCCGCCATGAGGGCACAACGCCACAGGTCACCCGGCGAGCCTCTCAACCGCCGACGCGTGCACCAGGCGACCACCTCCGCCTTCCGACACCTGGCTCGGAGCGCTCGCACGTGCTGACGCAACGTGAGCCCTAAGGTCCCGCCTTTTCCGCTTCCGCCGCCGCTGCCGTTGGAGACCGCCCTCCGGCTCTGGCGGCGGCTGTCACATTTCCGAGGCGGACTGTGGGGTTTCCGCGGAGCACCCCTCCGGCGCTGAAGGACTCACGTGGACTGGATGGAGGGGCGGGGCCAGTGTGGGGGCGGGGCTGGGCGCGCGCCACGCTAGACGTGGGCGGGGATGCGAGAAAGCGCCTCCCAGGGCCCAGAGGGGTTACCTGAAAGGCGTGAAACTCGTTTCTAAGGAATATTGTCTCCTTTTATTCCGCTGCGGTCCTTTGTCTTCGCTTTACAAAAGTAAACATTTCAAAAGATCAGTAATCAAAATCGTACGGGGGACGCTGAAACTGATCAGATAGCCTTAACACTAGGGCTTTGCTTTCTGCCAGACTTAGTAAGCCAGTGTCATAAAACACCGGTTTTTCACGATTAGAGATTTAGCCAATTAGAGATTCTAATTGGCTGATTGATTTTAAAATAGGAAGACCTCTTCATTATTTAAATAATTATTATGCCTTTGTAGACAAGGTCTTTTCAAAACACATGGCCCTGGGTGGGTATCAGAAAGTATTTTTTTTTTTTTTTTTTTTAGAAGAGGGGAGCTTGGTATTGAAAAGTTTGGGAGTTAAAGAAATAAATCAATAAGGTGTAGACCCTCCTTAAACCATTGCCCGAGCAAGTTTGCATTTCTAAGGGAACCATCAGACAACTTGACTTGGAAGTGACATTCTCGGTATAATTACTAAACCTAAAATAATAACTACATGGCTCGGTTCTTTTTAAGTTCTGGAAGACGGTAAAAAAAAAAAAAAAAAGCAGGAGTTCTTGCTAGACCTGTTTATTTCAACATTTGCATTAGCACCTTGTGATTTATGAAAGGGGAATAAGCTTAGCAATTAACCATATTCCACCTCTGTGTCTTTCTTTTTTTTTTTCCTCTTTCACATTTTACACGACGGGTCTCAAGAATTGAGGCAAAGGTTGGCTTCAGCTTCATTCCTTGATCACTCAGCATTAAGACATGAGAGAGGGGAGGAAACTCAGGGATGTAAAATAAATATGAAATTTCCTTGTAATAGAAAAATCCCCAGCCTGTGTAAAGAGTAAGAGTAGGAATGTCACTAGATAGTAAGCTCCAGATGGATAGGGAATATTTGCTGTGTTCACTAGATATCTAGGAACTTACAACGGTGCCTGGAAAATAATAAGCATTCAATTAAAAAATTCATGACAGAATAACAAAAGGCATTTGCTAAATTTATTTAGGACCAAGGGGCTCAGCCAGCTGAGAGATTTTAACCTTTCATTTCAAGGTAAATTTGGGGATAGATACCTATGATTTTTAAATCAACTCAACTATACACTCCTTACTTATTTTCAGATTTAGCACCTATGTTTATCTTGCTCTTAGAATTATTATAACAATGAGCCCGGTGGCTCAGTCGGTTAAGCTCAGGTCATGATCTCATGGTTCCTGAGTTCGAGCTCTGTGTCGGGCTCTGTGCTGACAGCTAGCTCAGAGCCCGGAGTCTGCTTCGGCTTCTGTGTCTCCCTCTCTCTAACCCTCCTCTACTCAAGCTGTCTCTCTCTCTCAGAAATAAATAAAAAACATTAAAAAATTTTTTAAAGAAAAAAGAATTATAACAATAATGGCAAAGCCTTCTTTTGTTTCCTCTATATTTCAATATAATAACTATCTTATCTAGTGCTTCTATGTACCCAATTACTATGTGCACTGTTTGAAATTCCTTATGTATTATTTCACTTACTCTGATCACAAGTATGTTAAAATATCAACTCAAGGAGCTCTTGAAGAGATGAAAGAAAGAAAAGAAAGGGAGAAAGAAAAAACCACATGCTAGAGAAAACCCAGTACAGCAGGAAAAAAAAAAAATGTGTTTGAATAATGCCCATTGAGTCTCAGAATCCTTAGTTGAGCACACCTTCTAGTTAAGGAACCCTAGGGCCAGAGAAAAAGTGCTCGAGTCTCGAGTCCTATGGTGCACCTCAGAAAACTTGACATTTCTTTTAGTCTTTCATTTGATCTTTAAAACTCACTGTGGTGGCACAAAAACAGACACTCAGATCAATGGAACAGACTAGAGAACCCAGAAATGGACCCACAAACATATGGCCAACTAAGCTTTGACAAAGCAGGAAAGAATATCCAATGGAATAAAGACAATCTCTTCAGCAAGGGGTGCTGGGAAAACTGGACAGCAACATGCAGAAAACTGAATCTGGACCACTTTCTTACACCATACACAAAAATAAACTCAAAATGGATGAAAGACCTAAACATAAGACAAGAAGCCATCAAAATTCTCGAGGAGAAAGCAGGCAAAAACCTCTTTGACCTCAGCCACAGCAACTTCTTACTCACTACATCTCCTGAGGCAACAGAAACAAAAGCAAAAATGAAATATTGGGACCTCATCAAGATAAAAAGCTTCTGCACAGAGAAGGAAACAATCAGCAAAACTAAAAGATAACCAATGGAGGGGCGCCTGGGTGGCTTAGTCGGTTAAGCGTCCGACTTTTGCTTAGGTCATGATCTCGCGGTTCGTGGGTTCGAGCCCCGCGTCGGGCTCTGTGCTGACTGCCAGCTCAGAGCCTGGAGCCTGTTTCAGAGTCTGTATCTCCCTCTCTCTCTGACCCTCCCCTGTTCACGCTGTCTCTCTCTATCCTAGAAATAAATAAAATAAATAAATAAATAAAAGATAATCAATGGAATGGGAGAAGATATTTGCAAACAACATATCAGATAAAGGTTTAGTATCCAAAATCAATAAAGAATTCATCAAACTCAACACCCCAAAAAACAAATAATCCAGTGAGGAAATGGGCAAAAGACATGAATAGACACTTCCCTAAAGAAGACATCCAGATGGCCAACCAACACATGAAAAAACGCTCAACATCACTTATCATCGGGGAAATACAAACCAAAACCACACTAAGATACCACCTCACACCTGTCAGAATGGCTAACATGAACAACTCAGGCAACAATAGATGTTGGTGAGGATGCAGAGAAAGAGGATCTCTTTTGCACTGCTGGTGGGAATGCACACTGGTGCAGCCACTCTGGAAAACAGTATGGAGTTTCCCTAAAAAATTAAAAATAGAAGTACCCTATGACCCAGCAATTCCACTACTAGGTATTTATCCAAGGGATACAAGTATGCTGTTTTGAAGGGGCACATGCACCTCAATGTGTATAGCAGCACTATCAACAACAGCCAACGTATGGAGAGAGCCCAAATGTCCATGGATGAATGAATGGATAAAGATGTGGTATATAATGTATATATATGTGTATATGTATGTACATATACACATATGTATACACATACACAATCAAGTATTACTCTTCAATCAAAAAGAATGAAATCTTGCCATTTGCGACTACAAGGATAGAACTAGAGGGTATTATGCTAATCAAAATTAGCTAGAGAAAGACAAATATCATATGACTTCACTCATATGAGGACTTTTTTTAAAGACTTTTTTAAAAATGTTTTATTTATTTTTTAGAGAGAGAGAGATAGGATGAACAGGGGAGGGTCAGAGAGAGAGGGAGACACAGAATCTGAAACAGGCTCCAGGCTCTGAGCTGGCTGTCAGCACAGAGCACGATGCAGGCTTGAACCCACGAACCATGAGGTCATGACCTGAGCTGAAGTCAGATGCTTAACCAACTGAGCCACCCAGGCGCCCCAATGAGGACTTTAAGATACAAAACAGATGACCATAAGGGAAGGGAAGCAAAAATAATATAAAAACAGGGAGGGGGACAAAAACATGAGACTTACATATGGAGAACAGAGGGTTACTGCAGGGGTTTGGGGGGGGGGGCTAAACGGGTAAGGGGCATTAAGGAATCTACTCCTGAAGTCATTGTTGCACTATATACTAACTTGAATGTAAATTTTAAAAATTAAAAAAAACTCACCATGGATGTCAGATTGGTTAACAGGCACTAGTGGGAGGGGGCACAGGTGAGTCCTCTGAGTGTTGGAAGCGTTCTATACCTGGCTGATCTGGGTTGTCATTGTACATATGCGTGGATATGTGCATATGTAGAAATCTATCTATTGAGATATACACTTAAGATTTGTGCACTTTATGAAACTTACACTGTAAAAGAAAATATTAATGACGAGACCCTCTCTTGGAGGATATCATTCTCTTCAGAAGCTTCCATTATCAGGGGCGCCTGGGTGGCTTAGTCGGTTAAGTGACCGACTTTCCCTTAGGTCATGATCTCACGGTTCGTGGGTTCGAGCCCCGCGTCGGGCTCTGTGCTGACTGCCAGCTCAGAGCCTGGAGCCTGTTTCAGAGTCTGTGACTCCCTCTCTCTGACCCTCCCCTGCTCACGCTGTCTCTCTCTCTCTCTCTCCTAGAAATAAACAAACATTTGGGGCGCCTGGGTGGCTTAGTCGGTTAAGTGTCCGACTTTCGCTTAGGTCATGATCTCTCGGTTTGTGGGTTCGAGCCCCGCGTCGGGCTCTGTGCTGACTGCCAGCTCAGTGCCTGGAGCCTGTTTCAGTCTGTGACTCCCTCTCTCTCTGACCCTCCCCTGCTCACGCTGTCTCTCTCTTTCTCTCCTAGAAATAATAAAACATTAAAAAAAAAAATTTAAAAAAAAAAAAAAAAGAAAGAAACAAACATTTAAAAAAAATTTTTGAAGAAGCTTCCATTATCATTTGTATATGTGTGGTAAGGTCGAAATATTGAAACACAAATGATCAAAGCCCTCTCCCTCTGCAAAAGAGTTCATACAAATTTTACATTCTAGCCCACAGTATATTTTTTAATGTTTTTGTTTACAATTTCTTTTTTTAAAGATTTTCTTTTTTTAAGTAATCTCCACACCCAAAGTGGGGCTTGAACTCATAACCCTGAGATCAAGAGCCACATGCTCTATCAACCAAGGCAGCCAGGCTCCCCTAGTATTTGTTGTAATATAAACTTACATGATTTTTTTTCCAGATTGTCATGTAAGATTAATTTCAGAAAGGTGAACACTGCTGATCTCATGTTGGA